CAGTTTGTTCCCTTTAGTCTTCTAAAGTTTTGCCCATGTTTACTTTGCTTTCATCTGCAGCTTTCTCAATAATCCTCTTAAGCCACTGAAGTTGCCTTATTGGCATTCTTTTAAATTTCTTATCAGGTAGTTCCAATACCATTTCTTGTTAACCTTTTCTCTGACTGTATTTTGGTTTATTGTTTGAGGTACTCTGTCTTGTTTCTTTGTGTAAGCTGAAATTGTCTGTTTTCTCTGAGACATTGTGGTGTCCTATTTATATTTGAGGAGTCCTGGTGTGGCTCTGTGGGTTAGTGTGCTAGACTGCAAGGTCGGCTTGAACACAAGGTCGGTGGTTCAAGCTCACCTGTTGCTCCTTGGAAACCCTATACAGGGTTACTATGTGCCAGAACCGACTTGAGGGCACTTAATAACAACAACAATTTATATTTTAATAACTGTGTATTAGTGTGTTCTCAAGCACACATCTGTCTCCCAGTGGATATGGTAGAGACAGAAAGTGTGAACACAGTTAGTTCTCTATTCACTATTTGTATAACGTAGTTCAAGGTGGATTCACATGCCACCAAAAGCAGGGGCACTATGCCTGGCATCCTAGGCAGAACAGAGGCTGCTCAGGAGGGGCTGCCACTGGCCACTAGGTTGGTGAGGGCAGGGACTGACTTCCCGGCTACCAGGAGGACCTGCGAACAGGGTGAACTGTATCCCCTTGCCACCAACTTCCTGCTACATCCTGTGCCAGCAAACGCTCAGGGTAAGACTCATCAGATATAACTCAGGATACTACATGCAACCATGATGCTTCAGAACTGAATGACTAGAGTAAGTTTTGTGGAGAACCAAAACTGCATATCCGTTTGACAAGTAACATTGAAAATTATTTCACTTTGAGAAATGGGATAAAAAAAATTAAGGACTTTGAAAGTATTCCTCAACAATTTTAGTTATGTAAATGGGAAAGAGAGGAAAGTTATTCTTTCATTTTATATACATTTGTTGTTGTTCAATGCCATCTAGTCAGTTCTGACTCATAGTGATCCTGTGTAGGGTTTCCAAGAAGTGGCTGGTACATTTGAGCCACCGACCTCATGGTTCAAACCAACCTTGTGATCGGGTGCATTATCCTGCAGCGCCACAACATGCATATATACATAAAACCAGGCTAAGTGCAGGAGAAACAATATATACCAAATATATAATATCCCTGGGGTTTCATAGCAAAAACCAAACCAAACAATAAAACCTATCTACTGCTAATGTAATAAGTAAATAAATTTAGAAAATAACTGATCAATTAATGCTAAATTGAATGGCAATGCCAGACATTAGTTTTCCAAAAGCCTTTTAACTAAAAGGCATCTCGTCCTGGGGGAAAAGACAACATCTAATTTTTAGCTGTCTATAGTCTGACTGTTATGCTGAATTTCTCCAAAATGCCATTTTCAGGATTTACCTTCACAAAGTAAAGTCCAGGGCAGTAACAAGTGGGAAAACAAAAGGACTGTTTAAGCAGAATTTAAAACTTGAATTGATACAAGTAGTTTGAGTGCTTGTGAATGTTTTCATGGACAGAGGGGTTTCCCAAACACATTTTGAAAAATATATATATTTCCAAATGTGAGCATGATAACTTGCTAAGAAATACAGAACACAAGTGTCCCTAATTCATGGTCATGGTGGTGGTTGGGTGCCCTGGAGTTGGTTCCGACTCTTAGCAACCCTATATAGGGTTTCGGAGGCTGTAAATCTTTACAGGAGCAGAACACCTCATCTTTCTCCCACAGACTGACTAGTAGATTTTAAGTGCTGACCTTATGGTTAACAGCGCAACTCATAACCCACTACACTCCTAGGGCTCCTTTCATTACCTCATTGTTGTTGTTGTGTGCCATGGAGTCGTTTCCGACTCGTAGTGATCCTGTATAGGGTAATATACTTCCAAGAATTATAGCTCCCTAAGGAGCTGAACTCATGGCCACTGGTTTGGTTTGGGTTTTGGTCTGCTTTCTTGAGTTCCAATGTTTTTCTCTGCCTTCCCTGGCTATCCCCACCCCTCAAGTTCTGCTCTTGAGTGTACTGAGCTACATTGCACCCAGCAGGGCCTCAGCTGCTGGGTGGGGTTCGCTTGGTAAATTACCACATCCTGGAGCACAGTCCAGCCAGTGTTATCTGAGGAGCTGGGAGTTGGAGTTAACACAGTTAGGGGGTGGAAGGTAAAACCACTTATTGAAATGACTCTCCAGAGAATGACCCTGCTGAACTCTCCAAAAGGTTAAAGTGAATGAAAAAGACCATGGAGGTAAGTCTTGAGTAAGTCTTGGGTGGGGGCTGGATGACTACAGAAAGGGAGAAGGTACCGGTGGAATCATGGTAGGGCAGCTAAGCTTGTAGGTTGTGGCGGGATTGATCACAATAATGGTCTTTCCTTTCCCCTTACCTTAAGGTCTAAGGTCTGCTCAGCTGTGGGGCTGCGGCCTGGGGCAATTGCCTGGTTCCATTGCTCTGGTGGTGGTTATGTGGCGTGGAGACTCATAGTGACCCTGTACAGGGTTTCTGGGGCTATAAATCTTTATGGGAGCAGAAAGCCTCATCTTTTTCCCGTGGAACACCTGTAGTTTCGAACTCTTGACCTTGAGGTTCACAGCCGGATTCTTAACCACTACCCTATCAGAGCTCCTTCCATTGCTCTCTGCTCCTAGGCAAACATGGTCTGGAAGCTCCTCTAATTTAAAAGAAAATGGGATGCTCGATTGTAATTCTAAAAGCTAAAGGTTCCAGGTGTAGGAGCACCCTCTCCCACTCCCCCCACCCCACATGCCCTTCTTTCCAAGTACTAGGACACACCCAAAAAGGCTAGAGGAAGGGTACTCTGCAAGACCATTTTTTAGGAGTCCCTATGCAAAATGTTTGTTGAACCGTCCTGCAATATAATATTTTAGAAAGAGCTATTTTATAGCAAGGAAGTCATGAACGCGATAATTTCAAGAATACCTATTAGGCTGTAGTCCAAAGACAAAATTTAAATTCTATTTGCACAATCTGAACTTCCATTTATAACTTTATGCCTTTAAATCATTAACCCTCCCTTAAAGTGTAAGCAAATCCAAGAAGGAATAATACATTGACTTTGTAAATTCCTTTTAACATATAATCATACCAGACCCTGCCTTCTCATCTCTTCCCCACCCCTACATCCCTTGCTACAGGCAAAATTCAGACCAAGAGTCAAACACTGGACTCTTTTAGGCCTTAAGGCCTCAGAACCTTTCAGCCTACTGTTTATTCTGCCTGGGATGTCTTTCCTTCTCTTGTTAATGAATTCTGAAGCCAGTTGCTATTGAGCTGATTCTGACTTAGGGAGACCCCCATATGTTAGAATAGAACTGTGCTCCATGGGATTTTCAGTGGCTGATTGTTCAGAAGCCAATTACCAGGCTTTTCTTCTGAGTCATCTGTGAATGGATTCTGTACCTCCAACCTTTCCAGTGGCAGCCGGACTGTATCTTCTACCCAGAGGCTCCTTAACTAACTGTCATGACTTCAAAACCCCAGCAATGTCATTCATGCCTCAAAGCTTGTTCTCCACGGCAGCTCACTACCACTATGGCTCCTAACTGCTTTCTTTCTGTCTTCTGACATCCCTTACCCAAGAATAATCATTGGCATAACCTCCCCCTTGCTGAAGACTCCATCAGAGTCATTAACTGTATCTTGCTCATTATTGATTCTCTTGCATCTAGAAGCATATCTGGCACACAGTAGCTTCTCAAAAAAAAAAAATTATGGAATGAATGAATTATTTACTATAAACACTTTTTTGATGGTGTGGTGGTGCAGAGCATGTCGAGAGATAAAAAAAAAAAGTATGCCCTGATGACAGATTTGTCTAGAGTCAATCCAGCTTCCACCACAACTACCAGTTGCCATGGCGTCAGCTGTGACTCAGGGTGACCCCAGGTATGCCAGAATAGACCTGTGTTCCTTAGAGTTTTCAATGGCTTTTTTATTTTATTTTTTTATGTGCACATACAAAACAAAAATATATATTCATTTAAATGTTCAAAGGGCACATTTTGCAAGCCAGCTCCCTGCCTGCAGGCACACAGTCTTTCTCAGTCCAGGGGCGTAGAGTCCTCTGCTGCTCTCTCCATGCTGTCACCTCTGCCACCATCTCTGCTGTTGCCGCTTTTCTGGGTAGGCTCTCATGCTCCATTCATGCTCTTCAATCTTGAGTCCTAGGGTCCTCTGTTCCTGAAATGAAAGATTAACTACTCCCTCCTTTAGTTACAAATCTTCCACATTTATAGTTGTGACAATCATAATTAACCCTGCAAACAATTATTCATAATTGAATCATAAAATCCTATCACCATCATCCCCCACCCCCTATCAGCAGATCCATCTGGACAAGAGGACTATCATTCAGTGGAGATTCTACTTTCCCTGCCCCCTCATTCTGAAAGTAAGCACACCCATGAAAGCTTGTAAGTCAATGACTACATTTTTTGGAAGGAGATTGGCAGGTGTTTCTTCCGAGGCACATTTGGGTGATTTCAAACCATCAGCATTTCGGTTAGCAGCTGAACCATTAACCATTTGCATCAACTAGTTAAGAGGCATTCTAACTCCTGTATGTACTAAAGTTTGTTCAGTGGTAACTCTCATTGACTGTCGAAATTTAAAAATTTATTGACATACTTGATGCACTTGCCAAAGTGGTGTTTAATGACCTGTATCTCACACAATAAAACAGGGGAAAGTTGAGAACTCAAACTTGCTTTGGTTTCATATCTGTTACCATCTGCTGGTTCCCGGATATTTGGTTACATCATTCTTATAAATACGTTAAACATTACCAGTGATAAAAACAGAAAAGAAAAAAAAAGAACTGTAGGAGAAGATGTTTTGGTCTCACAGAGGCGTGACAGAGACTTATTTTCTTCTCAGAAATCCTAGAGAAACAGAGAGATGCTTATTGAGAAAGTCTCCTCAACTTGACCATGAGTCAAACTAAAAAGAAAACCGCCTCAGGGGAAGATACTAAACCCCAGATTTCATTTATCAACAAATTCTTCAGGGGCTCAAAGCACAGGTCCTCCATAGCTGAAATCAGAAGAGAGAGTAACGGCCTTGAGAAAAACAATTGTCAACCCAACGTTGGTACACAGGAGATTACCGCTACAGACTTCGGTAAGCTTCTGACTGCTTTATTTCTTGATTTTCTAGACTATAGTGTTCCTCTAAAAAACAGCTTACAGATTAAATTGATAGTAAAATGAATCTCTGTGTTCAAAATATTTGTTATGTCAGTTGAGTGCTTTAAATATTCTTCTAATTTTTGTATGTTGTAAATATGAGGAGGTTTCAGAAGGTCATAGAAAAATTTCATGATTTTCTAATTCCATTTTCCATGAACTTTCTGGTTCAGGAGTGTGTGCATAACCACCCATGCACAAAATGCAGCCATGAACAAAAGGACCATATTAAAACAAAAACCAATGTGCACATAAATTCAGGAGGGGACAAGTACTAGAACGAAAAATAAAGGAGGGTAGAGAGGAGAGTGGTGGGTTGAATGTGTTCTTTTAAATGAGGTTGGAGGCAGACAGCAGGAATCTCTGTTGGTGGCACTTGAGCCGATACCTGAATAAAGTCAATCATGTAGAATAAATGAATGGATTCAGCTGAGTATTTATGGGACTAACTTTCCTGGCAAAAGAAACTGTAAATGTAAAAGGCCTCAGGTGGGATTGAGTCTGAATGTTTGATGACGACCCTGGAGGTTATGTTGCAGGTGAAGGTCAACAGCGAGAGGAAGAGAAGAGTAGGGGACAAGTCAGAGAAGTAGCTGGGGTCAGAGCCTGAAACTTGGACACAGCTGTAATAGATTACAACTAAGGCCATTCATTGGTGGAGCAGTGGTCAAATTCTTGCCTTCCATACAAGAGACTTGGGTTTGATTCCTGGCCCACGTGTCTCATGCACAGCCACCATCTGTCTGTCACTGGAAGCTCGACTGTTGCTATGATGTTGATCAGGTTTCAAGGGAGCTTCCAGACTAAGACAGACTAGAAAGAAAAGCCTGGTGATATACTTCTGAAAATCAGCCAGTAAAAACCCTATGAGTCACAATGATCCAATCCTAAAACGATCCTGGGGGTGGTACAGGACCGGACAGCCCTTAATTCCATTGTCCCTGAGGTCACCATGAGTCAAGAGCCAACTGGATGGCAGCTAAGCCAACAAATGACTTATAAATCTGTACTGTCCTTACGTGGAACTGTGATTTTACTTCTGTACATATTTTCATATTGCTCAGCTCCCACATTGCTACATGTTTATATGAACAATTTTAATAACTGCATAATCTATTACATATATATGATATAGAAACTTCATATTTTTTTCTTTCAGTGGATGTCTTTGTCTTTTTCTTGTGTATTTTCCCTGGTTGACTCATTTCAGCTATTTTTTTCTTAGGATAAATTTCCAGTTGCTGTTGTTAAGTGCCGTTGAGTTGGTTTCAACCCATAGCAACCTTATATAGGGTTTCCAAGGAGTAGCTAGTGAACTTGAACCGCCAATCTTGTGGTTCAAACAAATTCAAGGATTATGAAATACTTTACTGTTCTAAATAAACATTGCCATATTCTTCTCTAAGAGTTAAGTATCACATACAATGCAACCAATCTAGTTTCTATTAGATTAAGTACATTTCAGCACATTTAAAACTTTTTAATGCAAATATATACAAAACTAAAGAGAAAAAGGGGAAGACCCCTAATGAGATGGATTGGCCAGGTGGCATCACTGATGGACTCAAGTGTGGCACCGGTAGTGAGGTTGGCCCAGGATCGGACATTGTTTCCTTCTGCTGTGCATGGGGTCACTATGAGTCGGTTCCGACTCGATGGCACCTGACAACAACAACAACAAAGCCAGAATGTTTTTGGTTTGTTCTTTTCAATATATATTTTCACCCAAAAGAAAAGAAAGTAAAGCTAATAGTATAAGGAGTTTCCATGATCACTTACATTTAATAATTATTAACCTCTGGACAATCTTGTTTCCTTATACCTATACCTATGCAATTTTATTTGGCATAAAATACTAAATATAATATCATTTTACCTGTAAGTAGATTAAATGTATTTTAAAGGAGGTTAAGGTCCCCCTTTCAAAAAAAGATAATCTCTATCAGGAAATTTTTCATGTCTGTTCTGAAGTATGGTTTAGAACTTCAGGAAAGCTGTTTATGAATGTCTCTAATTGTGATTAAATTATCTGTGCAAAATGGAGCAGTGGGGCTTCCTTGGCAGGCAACTCTGGCCACCAGCCACCCTGGCTTCTCATTTCCGTCTCTTCCCAAACTCAGTGACTTCTTCAGTCACGTTGATTCTTCCCCTCAGTGGCCCTCGAACCTAGCTCCTTTTCTCCATCACTGCTATTTGTCTTCACCATCTCCTGCTTTGACCACTATACTAGCTTCCTAACTGGTTTCTCTGCTTTTAATCTTGCTCTCTTGCCAACCTGCACTCCACACTGCTACCACACCCTTTCTAAACCACAAATATGAATGTACCTCTTATCTGCTTACAATCCATCACTAAGTAAGTCTATCTTGCCTTGAAGAGAACGGTTATACTTCCAAATGGGGCCTCCAAGGTGAGGACAATCATTTGGATATGTCCTCACACCCTCTGCCTTCTCCTGACCTCCTATCACACCCTACAGTCATCCTAAACTTCTGACATTCTGGTTTACCTGTAATTCCTGAAATGGTTTCCCAGGCTGAAAAAGTCCTTCCCTTGTACCACTTTTCTTTCTCTGCACTCAATCTTTAAGCTGCAACTGAAGCCCCACTTTCTCTTGGAAGCTTCCCAAAGCCCACCCGATATACCTGACTCCCATCCTCTGTGTCCCTCCACCATTGCATTTCTCATCTGCATTGCAGCTATGGCATTCTTGTCTTGTCTCATTAGAAAGCTGGAATTTGTCATCACTTTACCTTGACTCCCTGTTCAGCACCAGTAATGTTACAAACATGTAGCAATGTTTTTCCTTGTTTTTTTTCACCAATGCAGTTTTTGGTTGTTGTTTTTTTTTAAGGTTTTTATTGTGGATTGAGTGAAAGTTTACAGCGCATACCATCAGTTTTACATTCAACAAATCATACACTTTGTTTCATTACAATGATTATAATCTCCTCCAGGTACCATCAGTTAACAGCATTTCTCTCTATCCACGTTAGCTTTTTAAAAAACAAACAAACAAACAAACAAAAAAACCACTCAGGCATGTATAATAATTTATATTTCCAAAGGGCACATTCTGCAAGTCTGCCTCCTGGCCACCAGCTCTTAGTACAAACATGTAGCAATGTTTTACAAAAGCATCAGGATTCTTGTTATAAACAACAGAAACCACCCTGACCGACTTAAACTATAAAGGAATTTGAAAAGAGAAGATACTGTATAGTTCACAGAATCGGAGGGTCTCTACAGCCAGTGCCCATCCATCCATCCATTCATCCTTCCATCATTTGTTCATTCAACAAATATTTGCCATGTATCTCCCTGCTAGAAGGCACTATAGATTTGTTATTGTTAGTTGGTTCTGACTCATGGTGATCCCATGGTCACGGAGCAGAACTATTCCATAGAGTTTTCTTGGCCATAATCTTAATGGAAGCACATAGCCAGGGCTTTCTTCCATGGCTCCACTAGGAAGGTTTGAACAGCCAATCTTTAGGTTAACAGTTGAGCGCAAACCATTTGCTCCATACTGGAACCTTACTGTAGATTTACCTGGGATAAACTTTAATCACAAAATTTCTAACAAGTGAACTGGGCAGGAATGATTGTCTCCTCTTTATAAGTGGGGTCTTGGTGTGATGCTGTAAAATAGGCACTGCTAACTGCAAAGTCGGCAGTCCAAATCCACCAACTGCTCCTCAGAAACCTACACAGGATTTGGAACTGACTCAAGAGCACTTACAAGAACAACTTTATATATAAGTCAGCCAAGGCTGACAGGCATTAAGTGATTTGCTGGCCTGACAGACCCATGACTTGAGCCAGTTATTCTGACTGTACTGCCTTGGACTTATGATTGAAATCAAATATGACAGAGCATCCAAGAAAGATGTGAACTGAAAGGAGACTTTTGAATTTGTTCATTGGTAGGGCAACATTGGTGACCTTTAAGAAAACAATTTATTTGGGCAGTGAGTGTGGTGACAAGAATGGAGAGGGTTAGTCAATAATGTGGTGAGGAATTGGGGCCAGCAAGTAGAAGCTACTCTCTTAAAGCATGTAGCAATAAAGTAAATGAATGATGTGAGGAGAGACAGGAGGTTTGGTGGGGCTAGAACTTGGTGATTGTAGAGTAAGTCTATAGAGTTAAACAGTTTGAAAACAAAAGAGATAGCAATAAGATGCAATACAAACACATTTAAAAAAATTAAAAACATACAAGTACACACAAAGAACTCTGGAGCCCGACTGTTGTGAGTTCAAATTCCAACTCTTATTTCTTCCTTATCGATGGCCTTTCTGCATCTCAGTTTCCAAATCTATGTAATAGAGATAATTGTGACTCCTTACATTAAGATTTGAGCCCTGGTGTGGTGCTGTTGAATAAGAACTGGACTGCCAACTGCTAGTTCGGCAGTTCAAACCCATCAGCTGCTGGGATGTCTTCTGTAAAGATTTACAGCCTCGGAAACCCTGTACAGCATCTCTGTGAGTGGGTTTGGTTTTGATTTTTATCTAATACATGCAATATTTAAAAAGTGTTTTTTTTTTTGCCATTGAGTCAGATCCCACTCATAGTGACCCTGTATAGGGTTTCCTAGGAGTGGCTGGTGGAATTGAACTGCCGACCTTGCCGTTAGCAGTCTAGAGCTTATCATACAGTGCCACACCAGGACTCCAATATTTAAAAAATACTAAATACTTTTTAAAGTATTTGCTGTTTATCTGAAGTTTACATTTAACTGAGTGCCCTACCTATTTTTTGTTTTTTGTTGTTGTTTTTTTCCCCTAAATCTGGCAGCCCTATCCAAAACAAAATACCTCCATCCAATGTACTGTCATAAATACTGGCCATTGTGAAGAGGTGAAATGGTTGATGATGCTGCCTCCTACTGGTAGAATGTGACAATGTCCACCATCCCAGCAAAGAGGTACACTGCACAGGTGGTTTACTTAACCAGATTAGCAAACCCCAAGCCACACTGTGAATGAGAGGTGGAGTTTTTATTATTCCACTAATATGCTAGTCTAAGTTTATTACTACTGCAATCTTTATTGTTGTTGTTGTTAAGTGCTGTCAAGTCGGTAACTACTCATAGCGACCCTGTATAGTGTTTCCAAAGAGCAGCTGGTGAGTGACCTGCCAACCTTACAGTTGAAGCCAACCTTGCAGTCTAGTGAGTTTCCTACAGTGCCACACCAGGACTATCTTTTAATTTTCACTGGAACCAATACATACATATATATATATTTAGCTGTGTGGTTTTATACCTATCAGGGTTAGTAGAATATTACTGCATATTGTATTCTGAGAAAAAGCAGGTTGCTTTTTCTACATGTTTAAAGTACCTTTTCACATCACTGAAAAACCACTTTCACATCACTGGCAGTATATGCATATGAAATGTACTTAACATTTCATTCTTCAAATTTTTTCTTTACAAAAGTATGTAGACATGTTGTAAATACTAGCATATGCAGTAGATGAAGCAATGGCTCACAGTAGGTACTCAAAAAAATTAAGACTTTTTGTTATACTAGTGATATACCATGTTAGGATAGTGTTATTACAAAGGCACATGGTGAACTGCTACATAAAAGGTCCCTCCAAACAACAAGCTCTGGTGTGGCTGTAGGGTAGGCACTGGACTGCTAATCACAAGGTTGCTCCTGGAAACCCTACATAGGGTTGTTATGAGTCACATCTGACTTGACAGCACACACCAACAAAGACAAATGAGGTTTTCTGAATATGCTCTTCTGCTGCAATTTGCAAAGTACAAAATCTACCCCCTTAGGCACCACTCTCTGTATGTATGCTTGCCAATCAAATGCGTGAAGCAGCATGTAGGGTGTGGGGTTTTTCCCTCCGTCACCACCTGAAACTCATCCACTGTGATTTCAACACTTTTCCTTCTGCACCTGTTTGATGTTAGGGGGCAAATACCTGTGCTCTCCTCCCACACAACAATTTGATGTTGTGCTCATCAAACATGACTGCATGAATGTTCTGCAACAGGAGTCTTAAATGCTGTGGTAACAGATTCTTTTCTACCCATGTTTACACGGAGAAGCCCAGGGCAGGTCATGAAAGAAAAGCCGTTCAGTTCTGGTTTCTCAGGCTCCTTTCTACAAAAATGGTTACTGGAAGCCATCTGTATCCAAGCCCCTGACAGCATGAACAGTGGTTATGTTTTGTCCCCAGTAAATAAATGTCTTCCCTTCTGAGTTGAAGTTTCACAAGAGACCTACTCAGGCTGGTTCTCTTCTGCTTGTTTTATTGTGATTATTATGCATCTTGAATACTATCTGTCATTCACAGCAAATTCTTCCTTCTTCCTATGATATAGCTAAATCTCAGCCTGACAGCTCAGAAATGGAAGGGGAATCCAAGGCAGAGAAGAATGAGCAGTTCCTGCAGAAGTTGGGCAAAAAGGCTGTTAACAAGTGTCTGGGCCTGAGTAGCTGTGGATTAACCACTGCGGACATGAGGGAAGTGGGTCTGTATGCACTTCATCCTGCACAGAGAAATAAAGTCCCTTTAGGTGCAGATGGGAGCCTATGTGTGGTATAAATGGTTAATGTACTTGACTGCTAACAGAAAAGTTGGATGTTTGAGTTCACCCAGGGATTCCTGGGGAGGAAGGCCTGGAAGTCCACTTCTGTAAATCAGCCACTGGAATCCTTAGTTCTATTCTGACACACCTGGAGTTGGTGGGAGGTGTGGATGATTCCACAGCAACTGGTGGTGGTAGGAGGTGGAGGTGAGCCAGCCAGCACAATACATTTGGGTATCCAACTGGTAACTCCAAGGTCTGAAAGATGGTCCCAGATACTCACAGGAATAGCAGTTGCATCACTGTGTTGTTGTTTGTAAGCAAATTGATTGGCCCTTCTTCATGCTTCAAAAATTTGAGCTGAGTTTAGAAAGAAGATTCATTTTTTTGTATATTTCTCCTGAGTCATTTTACCTACCTATTGATTGCCTCTTTTCCCCTGAAAAAACATATATCTGAGATATGAGATAACTACCAGCAATTATTATATGTACCTTGTTTACACAAAAGCATAAGTGCCATTTCTTTCTCCTAAACAGGAGTTTGCTTGTGAAGACCTCTCTCCATACCACCACCGCCACCTCTTTTTTCTAATGACCTTAAATCAAACTTTTAATCAACTTAGATGTGTCTGCCAACAGAGAGATATCTAACAAACTGCGTGTTGAGTGAGGGAATCGTTACTCTTCATGAAAATTCTTGCCGTTGTGTTTGTAGACTGGTCTCTTCTGAAGGAACTCTGTGCCTGTCCTTTTCAGATGACTGTGTGTCTCAATTGCTTGCAGACCTTGTGGAAACAAAGGCCCTTTAATCCACTGCAAACCTACTGAATCAGAGTTCCTCAAAGTGGGTCCCTAGTTTTAACAAGTCCCTCAGGGAGTATGATGCAAACTGAAGTTTGACCACTGAACTATATTTTGTGTAGGGTCATTGCATTTTCGTAGTGGGATTATAAAGAGGAAGGAGGCTTGATTACTTGTATAAATTGAAAAATATACAAAGATGTGGCATACAGTTGAATCACTAACTCACTGTTTAGTGTTACAAAACAAGTGGTTTTGTGTGTGTTTGTTTCTCCTTTGGATCGTACTCAATGGAGTCTCTGAATGATGCAAATGGTTAATGAGCTTGACAGCTAAATGAAAGTTTGGAGGTTTGGGTGTACTCAGAGGTGTATAAAAATATCCATTGAAAACCCTATGAATCACAGTTCTACTCTAATGCACATGGGGTCACCACGAGCTGGAGTTGACTAGACAGCAACTAACAGGTTAATGTATTCAACTTCAGAAAACAAGGATCTTGTTGAACAAGAGCTAGAAAGAGAAAGTGTTATGGTTGTAAGCCTGGCTTCATATCTTTGGGAGATCTCGGTTGCTGTGCCTGCAGCTCTAGAAGCTCACCATGTTCATCACCTTAACATTCAAAACACACTTTTAAAAACAAACCAGCTAGCAAAGACACTTGACTCTATCTCCTTTGGCATGTCCACTCTCAAGTCTCATTGCTTCAGGAGATAAAAGAGATCCTTTGAATCTCGCCTACAGATGCAGATGACTTCACTTTTAATGAGCAGTGGCTGAGATACAGCCATTCAGTCTGTATCTGAGTGCCATTCAGTCTTTGTGCAAGTTGAAATCTGCGCATGTTGAGTTGATTCCTATAAACAGAATTAACTTTTTTTAAAGGTGGAGATACCCAGGTAATCAAGATTAAAAAAAAAAAAAAAAAAACACAGAAGAAGTAACTGGCACCCTTGATCTCAGCAGTTCTGGCCAGCAGGCATTCTCTTGGCCCTGCAGTTGCAGTTGTAGGACACCTTGAAGATGACAGGTAGAAACTGTTGGGAGGATTTTGCAAAATAAAAGGACTCCTATATACAACACTATCATAGTGGGAGTGGTGTTAGTGGCAGCAGTACATGAAGTGGTGAAAAACATGTGAAATGGTTCTTTACAGATTGTTGTTGTTGTTAGGTGCCATCAAGTCAGTACGGACTCATAGCGATCTTATGCACAGCAGAACAAAACCTCCCCCCCAATCCTTGGCCAACCTCACTTGTTGCCATGCTTGAGCCCATTGATGCTGCTACTTTGCCAATCCATCTCGCTGGGGGTCTTCCTCTTTTTCTCTGACCCTCCACCCTACCAAATGTGATATCCTTCTCCAGTGACTGGTCCCTTCTGACAACATGTCCGAAGTATGAGACACGAAGTTTGGCCATCTTGGCCTCCAAGGAATGCTCTGGCTGCACTTCTTCCAAAATGGATCTATTGGTTCTTTTGGCAGTCCATGGCTCTTTCAATATTCTCCTCCAAAACCATAACTCAAAAGCATCAATTCTTCTACGGTCTTCCTTATTCACTGTGCAGCTTTCGCATACATATGAGGTAACTGAAAATACCATGGCTTGGGTCAGGCACACCTTAGTCCTCAAGCTGACATCTTTGCTCTTCAACACTTTCAAAAGGTCTTGTGCAGCAGATTTGCCTAATGCAATACATCGTTTGATTTCTTGACTGCTGCTTCCATGAGTGTTGATAGTTGATCCAAGAAGAATGAAGTCCTTGACAACTTCAATTTTTTCTCCAGTAATAAGAATGTTGTTTATTTGTCCAGTGGTGAGGATTTTCATTTTCTTTACATTGAGATGCAATCCATACTGATGGCTGTGCTCTTTGATCTTCATCAGTAAATGTTTTAAGTCTTCTTCACTTTCAGCAAGCAAGGTTGTATCATCTGCATATTGCAGTTGTTAATGAGTCTTCCTTCAATGCTGATGCCACATTTTTCTTCATAGAACCCAGCTTCTCAGATTATTTGGTCAGCATACAGGTTGAATAAGTATGGTAAAAGAATACAACCTTGTCACACATCTTTCTTAATTTTAAACCGTTCAGTGCTGAATTCAGAAGAGGCCGTGGAAAGAGGGATATCATTGCTGATGTCCAATGGATGTTGGCTAAAAGCAGAGAATATCCGAAAGATATTTACCTGTACTTTATTGACTACATGAAGGCTTTTGGTTGTGTGGTTCATGTCAAGCTATGGACAACATTGCAAAATATGAGTATTCCTGAGCACTTAATTGTGCTCATGAGGAATCTGTTCATGGACCAATAGGCAGTTGTTTAAACAGAACATAGGAACTCTACAGATTAGTAAACACAAATAATCCCATGCTTACCTTGTTAACTGGGTACTCTGCCCCTGTCAGGAGTTGAACATTTGCGAACAGGCTTAGATTCTGTAGCAAGGTGTTGTACCTAGATGCAGAATATTTGATATGGGAGAAAATGTGAAGTTGTTCCCTACAGACTAGTAAGTACTCACAAGTAAGCTCATGCTTACCTTGCTTATTAGGTAACCTAACCCTAAAAGTACCATTACTGTTGCTTGGTTCACCATAACAGATGCCTGTTGATGTCATGGTTAAGCACAAGGTTGCTAACCGAGAGATCAGCAGTTCAAAGGCACCACCCACCCTCTCTTGGAGAAAAAGATATGGCAATCTGCTCCCATAAAGATTATAGCCTTGGAGCTCCTAGCATCAGTTCTACTTGGTTCTGTAGCATTGCTGTGACTCAGAACTGCCTTGACAGTGGGTTGTTGGGTTTAATTACATAAAAGGAGGTGACTTGGGATCTTTCTTCAGTATGAGAATGTAGTTATTTAGCAAAAATATAAAATGTCCCAAGAAATAGGAAATGTAAATGTCACAATTCCACCAATTTCCTGTCTGAGAGATTCCAGCTTTGATGAAAGACAACATATTTTCCTTGCTTTTAGTTAAAAACTATATTCTGTGCATATAGACATTGATTCCTATTTGCTACTTATCACAAATTATATATACAAACGTATATTCTTCTCTGTTCACTTCCAGTTGCCTTACTACCTTCTCTCCCAGACTTGGAAGAACTGGATATTTCCTGGAATGACTTTGTAGGTGGGACCCTCCACTTAATCACCCAGCAAATGCATCTTGTCAGCAAGTTAAAAGTCCTGAGGTTAGGCAGTTGCAGACTCACAACTGATGACGTTGGAGCCCTGGGTATGACCAAAACAAACATTTTCTACTAAAAGCAACAGGTTGGCTAGAATCTCAGTTAAAATAAATTATGTACTTAGTACAGAGTCGCTAGGTGATACAAATGGTGAATGCACTCAGCTACAAATTAAAAGGTTGGCAATCTGAGTCCACCCGGAAGCACCTTAGAAGAAAGGCCCAGCAATCCACTTTTGAAAAATCCACCATTGAAAACCTTATTATGGAACACAATTTTACTCTGGCACACATGGAATTGCATAAGACGAAATCTGCTAGACAGCAAATAATGTTTTGTTTTGTTTTGTATACATTTGTTGTTTTTGGTAAGTGCCATCAAGTCGGTTTCTATTCATAGTGACCCTGAATAAGATTTCTGAGGAGCCACTGGTGTGTTTGAACCACTGACCTTCCAGTTTCAAACAACCTTGGGGTCCTGTGCTTATCCTACACCAGGATGCCAATACAAGCACATTAACATAACAAAAATCCATTGGCAAATATGATTATAATCACAGTTATTGATTGTTGTCCCTAGGTGTTGTGGAGTGGAGTTGGTTCCCACTCATGGCACCCATCTGTTGGATCTTATGAAACACTGCCCTGTCCTGCACCATCTTCAAATATTGTTCGTTTGAGCCCATTGTTGCAGCCACTGTGTTGGATTTTTCCTTTCAGCTGACCCTCTACTTTACCAAGCATGATATCCTTTTCTACAGACTAGTCCCTCCTGATGTGTCCAGAATGTATGAGATGAAATCTCACCATATTCTTTACTAGGGGCCATTCTGACTGTACTTCTTCCAATACACATGTATTTGTTCTTCTAGAAGTCCATGGGACTTTCAATATTCTTCACCAATACCATAATTCAAGTATATCAATTCTTCTCTGATTTTCCTTATTTTCCAGTTTTCACATGCATATTAGGTGATTGGAAAATGCCATGGCTTTAGTCAGGTATACTTCAGTCCTCAAAGTGACATATTCAGACTTTAAAACTTTAATGAGGACTTTTGCAGCAGACTTTAACGAGGATATAGGGGTTGAGAGTTACAGCACAGGTTTTTTGGAGGGCACAACTCAAGCCATAACACTGCTTAATTTAAGGTGACATATTCACAGATTTCAGGGATTAGGAAGTGGACATATTTGTGGAGAGTCATTGTTCTGCCTACCACATTAAGCTTCTCAGAAATGCTAATCCTGGTGATAATGGAGGAGAAAAAGTACTTGTAGGTGAACTGTACAAATATTTATTACTACAAAAACAACTCAGTAAAACTACCCTACCAATAGTGGATTAATAGAGTGTTGGTGTTCCCTTTTAAATAACAATTTTTGTCTTATAAACTTGGCTTCAGGATTTGGAAGGGATTATAATTGCTATGTCTGTAAAAATAGAAACTCAACTTGTTGTGAGTGGGCAGGAATTGAGTCCTTTTCTCTGCATTTCTTGGCAATTAACACAGAACTTGGCCCAGTTTCAATATTCCATAAGTAATGGTCATATTGATTTTGAATTGATTCCTCTGCTTTGCCAACTATTGTCAACCTGATCTCCCGCCATTTTGTAACAGGAGAAGCACTTAAAGTGATACCTGAACTTGAAGAACTAAATTTGTCCTGGAACAGAAAAGTGGGTGGAAACTTACCTCGGATCCTGCAGAAGTTCCAAGAAGGAAACAAAATACGAACCCTTGAATTTGTGGATTGTGCCCTTACATCAGAAGATGGGGCATTTATGGGTAAGTAGATTTGGAAAGGTAGCGTAGTGGTTACGAATTGGGCTGCAAACCTTAAGGTCAGCAGTTCAAAACTACCAGCTGTTCCGTGGGAGAAAGATGGGGCTTTCTGCTCCCGTAAAGATTTACAGCCTTGGAAACCCTGTACAGGGTCACTATTGAGTCGGTTCCGACTCCACGGCACAGAACCACCACCACCAGATTTGGAAAGAAGACCTGGTTTGGCGCTGCTGGTTAATGTGCTAAACTGCAAAGTCCACTTGAACTGGGAGGTCTACAATTCAAGCCCACCAGCTGCTCCTCAGAAACCCAAAAAGGGTTACTATGGGTCAGAACCGACTTGACAGCACTTAACAACAACAGATTTGGAAGCGTTCTCTCCATTTACTTGCCCAAAATATGAGGATGCCACAATTAGATAGCTTGGGAATTCGTGTTTACGGTATTTTTCTTACTCTGAATTTAAGAGTGTTGCACTATATCCCCAAACCTGAACTTGGAATCTTTCCATTCTGTTTCTATCCCCTGCTGAGAATTTACATTTCCACCCCAGATTATGCTGAATCAGAATCTGCATTTTAACAAAGATCTATTCTGATTCAGTATCTTGGGGAGGATATGCAAAATCTCAGCCAAGAGTAGAACTGGAATGAACCAGTTTGAAGCCCTGCCCCAAACAAACACAAATCCAATGCTTTCAAGTTGATTCCTATTCATGATGATCAATCAAGTGTTTGCAAAGTAGAATTCCACTGTAGGATTTTCTTGGCTTTAATCTTTACTAAAGCTGTTCATCAGGCCCTTCTAGTGCCACTGGGTGAGTTCGAACTGCCCACCTTTAGGCTAGTAGCTGAGAGCAAACTGTTTGCCCCTGTTAGGGACCTTACTGTAACCCATTGTGGTTCCCAGTCCAGTGCTGATCCTATATCGCCAAACCAGGACTCCTACTGTAACCCCAGCTCTCAACTAAATTGCACTCCCCACTCTTTCCTGCCTTGCCTTTTACACCCCACATTTTCTCAATGTTTTTCTTTATGTTTGGTTTTCCTTTTCCAGGTCAGTTGCTGCCTGTGATGCAAAATCTTGAAGTACTTGATCTTTCCATCAATAAAAACATACGTGGCAGCCTAAACAGTATTGCTCAGGGATTTAAAACGACCTCAAATCTGAAAGTATTGAAATTACATTCATGTGGATTATCACAAAACAGCATAAAAATATTGGGTGCGTTAACAATGACTGACATTTATATATATAATTGTGGGAAAAACAATTATAATCCTGTTTATTATATTC